CCACTCATTATATCAATCTGCATCGAACGCGACACAATACGAAGACTCTTAATTATAACAAACACATCGCTGCATTTCCACAGAACTATGCAGCCACCTTTGATTAGGACAAAAGACTTCAAACATTCTGGAAACCCCTCTGTACGGTGAGAATTTAGGATTCTTTAAAGGATACAAAAACGACCCATGTAAAATCATAAAGAAAACAATCGATGCCTGGTATTCAGAAGTCTACAAGTATGATTTCAGTTCCGATGGCCCTTCCCCAAATACAAAACATTTTAAAAGGAAGAACACTTGAGCAGTAGTTGGCAAAATGCAAAGTGATTCGATTCAGGTCCTTAGTTCGCAACCGCGTGCTACCTCTAAGCCTGCTACTGGATACCTCTTACTGGATACACCCTACTGGATTCTCTACTGGATACACAGTTACCTTATCCAATCAGAGAACGCCACGTCGGTGCCCATCTTGTACCCACAATCTTGGCGTAATCACCGTCCCGTAATCACCTGAATGATTGCGGTACAACACAGTGAAGGTCACGCCGACTTCACTGATGACGCGTTCGCGTCACACGGTCGCTTGGCGAGGCGTCGTCACATCAGTCTTGACAACAATAACAAGGTAGATACAAAACCTTTACTCGCCTAACATGGTTATTCTATACGCATCGTCGTTATCTTGATAAAGTTCAGGCGTATCCCCCAAGCAGCCAGTATCATCGGATATTGATACGCGATATGGACGCAATTGATCGTGAGATAATACAAGCTCTTGCGGATTGCAATAAACATTTGGCTGGCATTGTACATGCATATAATCTTTCATTGCATTTGGTGAAAATTTTAGATCAGTGCGTATTCATGTTGTTTTGATTAGTGAGGCGTCTTTTGTAAGATATAATGATCGTATAAATATAGATCGATAATGCCACAAACGTGCGAGCTTAATCATGTGCAATTAGTAAATGCCACTCATTATATCAATCTGCATCGAACGCGACACAATACGAAGACTCTTAATTATAACAAACACATCGCTGCATTTCCACAGAACTATGCAGCCACCTTTGATTAGGACAAAAGACTTCAAACATTCTGGAAACCCCTCTGTACGGTGAGAATTTAGGATTCCTTAAAGGATACCAAAACGACCCATGTAAAATCATAAAGAAAACAATCGATGCCTGGTATTCAGAAGTCTACAAGTATGATTTCAGTTCCGATGGCCCTTCCCCAAATACAAAACATTTTAAAAGGAAGAACACTTGAGCAGTAGTTGGCAAAATGCAAAGTGATTCGATTCAGGTCCTTAGTTCGCAACCGCGTGCTACCTCTAAGCCTGCTACTGGATACCTCTTACTGGATACACCCTACTGGATTCTCTACTGGATACACAGTTACCTTATCCAATCAGAGAACGCCACGTCGGTGCCCATCTTGTACCCACAATCTTGGCGTAATCACCGTCCCGTAATCACCTGAATGATTGCGGTACAACACAGTGAAGGTCACGCCGACTTCACTGATGACGCGTTCGCGTCACACGGTCGCTTGGCGAGGCGTCGTCACATCAGTCTTGACAACAATAACAAGGTAGATACAAAACCTTTACTCGCCTAACATGGTTATTCTATACGCATCGTCGTTATCTTGATAAAGTTCAGGCGTATCCCCCAAGCAGCCAGTATCATCGGATATTGATACGCGATATGGAAGCAATTGATCGTGAGATAATACAAGCTCTTGCGGATTGCAATAAACATTTGGCTGGCATTGTACATGCATATAATCTTTCATTGCATTTGGTGAAAATTTTAGATCAGTGCGTATCCATGTTGTTTTGATTAGTGAGGCGTCTTTTGTAAGATATAATGATCGTATAAATATAGATCGATAATGCCACAAACGTGCGAGCTTAATCATGTGCAATTAGTAAATGCCACTCATTATATCAATCTGCATCGAACGCGACACAATACGAAGACTCTTAATTATAACAAACACATCGCTGCATTTCCACAGAACTATGCAGCCACCTTTGATTAGGACAAAAGACTTCAAACATTCTGGAAACCCCTCTGTACGGTGAGAATTTAGGATTCTTTAAAGGATACAAAAACGACCCATGTAAAATCATAAAGAAAACAATCGATGCCTGGTATTCAGAAGTCTACAAGTATGATTTCAGTTCCGATGGCCCTTCCCCAAATACAAAACATTTTAAAAGGAAGAACACTTGAGCAGTAGTTGGCAAAATGCAAAGTGATTCGATTCAGGTCCTTAGTTCGCAACCGCGTGCTACCTCTAAGCCTGCTACTGGATACCTCTTACTGGATACACCCTACTGGATTCTCTACTGGATACACAGTTACCTTATCCAATCAGAGAACGCCACGTCGGTGCCCATCTTGTACCCACAATCTTGGCGTAATCACCGTCCCGTAATCACCTGAATGATTGCGGTACAACACAGTGAAGGTCACGCCGACTTCACTGATGACGCGTTCGCGTCACACGGTCGCTTGGCGAGGCGTCGTCACATCAGTCTTGACAACAATAACAAGGTAGATACAAAACCTTTACTCGCCTAACATGGTTATTCTATACGCATCGTCGTTATCTTGATAAAGTTCAGGCGTATCCCCCAAGCAGCCAGTATCATCGGATATTGATACGCGATATGGAAGCAATTGATCGTGAGATAATACAAGCTCTTGCGGATTGCAATAAACATTTGGCTGGCATTGTACATGCATATAATCTTTCATTGCATTTGGTGAAAATTTTAGATCAGTGCGTATCCATGTTGTTTTGATTTGTGAGGCGTCTTTTGTAAGATATAATGATCGTATAAATATAGATCGATAATGCCACAAACGTGCGAGCTTAATCATGTGCAATTAGTAAATGCCACTCATTATATCAATCTGCATCGAACGCGACACAATACGAAGACTCTTAATTATAACAAACACATCGCTGCATTTCCACAGAACTATGCAGCCACCTTTGATTAGGACAAAAGACTTCAAACATTCTGGAAACCCCTCTGTACGGTGAGAATTTAGGATTCCTTAAAGGATACCAAAACGACCCATGTAAAATCATAAAGAAAACAATCGATGCCTGGTATTCAGAAGTCTACAAGTATGATTTCAGTTCCGATGGCCCTTCCCCAAATACAAAACATTTTAAAAGGAAGAACACTTGAGCAGTAGTTGGCAAAATGCAAAGTGATTCGATTCAGGTCCTTAGTTCGCAACCGCGTGCTACCTCTAAGCCTGCTACTGGATACCTCTTACTGGATACACCCTACTGGATTCTCTACTGGATACACAGTTACCTTATCCAATCAGAGAACGCCACGTCGGTGCCCATCTTGTACCCACAATCTTGGCGTAATCACCGTCCCGTAATCACCTGAAGGATTGCGGTACAACACAGTGAAGGTCACGCCGACTTCACTGATGACGCGTTCGCGTCACACGGTCGCTTGGCGAGGCGTCGTCACATCAGTCTTGACAACAATAACAAGGTAGATACAAAACCTTTACTCGCCTAACATGGTTATTCTATACGCATCGTCGTTATCTTGATAAAGTTCAGGCGTATCCCCCAAGCAGCCAGTATCATCGGATATTGATACGCGATATGGACGCAATTGATCGTGAGATAATACAAGCTCTTGCGGATTGCAATAAACATTTGGCTGGCATTGTACATGCATATAATCTTTCATTGCATTTGGTGAAAATTTTAGATCAGTGCGTATTCATGTTGTTTTGATTAGTGAGGCGTCTTTTGTAAGATATAATGATCGTATAAATATAGATCGATAATGCCACAAACGTGCGAGCTTAATCATGTGCAATTAGTAAATGCCACTCATTATATCAATCTGCATCGAACGCGACACAATACGAAGACTCTTAATTATAACAAACACATCGCTGCATTTCCACAGAACTATGCAGCCACCTTTGATTAGGACAAAAGACTTCAAACATTCTGGAAACCCCTCTGTACGGTGAGAATTTAGGATTCTTTAAAGGATACAAAAACGACCCATGTAAAATCATAAAGAAAACAATCGATGCCTGGTATTCAGAAGTCTACAAGTATGATTTCAGTTCCGATGGCCCTTCCCCAAATACAAAACATTTTAAAAGGAAGAACACTTGAGCAGTAGTTGGCAAAATGCAAAGTGATTCGATTCAGGTCCTTAGTTCGCAACCGCGTGCTACCTCTAAGCCTGCTACTGGATACCTCTTACTGGATACACCCTACTGGATTCTCTACTGGATACACAGTTACCTTATCCAATCAGAGAACGCCACGTCGGTGCCCATCTTGTACCCACAATCTTGGCGTAATCACCGTCCCGTAATCACCTGAATGATTGCGGTACAACACAGTGAAGGTCACGCCGACTTCACTGATGACGCGTTCGCGTCACACGGTCGCTTGGCGAGGCGTCGTCACATCAGTCTTGACAACAATAACAAGGTAGATACAAAACCTTTACTCGCCTAACATGGTTATTCTATACGCATCGTCGTTATCTTGATAAAGTTCAGGCGTATCCCCCAAGCAGCCAGTATCATCGGATATTGATACGCGATATGGACGCAATTGATCGTGAGATAATACAAGCTCTTGCGGATTGCAATAAACATTTGGCTGGCATTGTACATGCATATAATCTTTCATTGCATTTGGTGAAAATTTTAGATCAGTGCGTATTCATGTTGTTTTGATTAGTGAGGCGTCTTTTGTAAGATATAATGATCGTATAAATATAGATCGATAATGCCACAAACGTGCGAGCTTAATCATGTGCAATTAGTAAATGCCACTCATTATATCAATCTGCATCGAACGCGACACAATACGAAGACTCTTAATTATAACAAACACATCGCTGCATTTCCACAGAACTATGCAGCCACCTTTGATTAGGACAAAAGACTTCAAACATTCTGGAAACCCCTCTGTACGGTGAGAATTTAGGATTCCTTAAAGGATACCAAAACGACCCATGTAAAATCATAAAGAAAACAATCGATGCCTGGTATTCAGAAGGCTACGAGTATGATTTCAGTTCCGATGGCCCTTCCCCAAATACAAAACATTTTACGCAACTTTGTTGGCGCGATACTACTCAGTATGGGATTGGATATGCATACGATCCAGATCCCAGAATAGCTTCAACCCTCCGGGCAACATAGTTGGTGGTTACAAAGCCAATGTGCTACCGCCGCGGTTTCTTCCATATGAACGTACACGTGTCACCTCTGGCGTGCCTGAGACGTGACACTATGCAATTCAACTGGCTAGAATCGGACTGGATATATTGACATTAACCAATCAAAATGTATCCTTGCTAGAACGGGTTCTTGGCGGATCCGTGGGCCTCATCTTTAGCGCCTCACCAGAATATATGGCTGGTGGCGCTTGCGCTTCCTGGTACGTGTATCTTTTTTCTCCCTCTCGCGCGTTTGTTGCATCACCTGATCCAGTTCATCCATCTGCGAAGGCGTCGGTGATTTTGGCGACCACGCCACGGACGATGATGGGATCCAATTGTGGTAGTGGATGGCAGGCGAGGCGGGTGGCGTCAGTGCGCAGAGTTCCGCGTAGCTGAGCGGTATACGCGCTTCTGGAAGCGGTGTCGATGAATCTTGCGCATTGTACGGGCTTGCTGGCGGCGTCTGGAACTAGTGCTCTTCTTGATCTGAAGGGGGCGAACCGACCAGCACAAGGCCTGCTTGAACTCTTGCTCTGCCTTCGACGTATGCATCGTAAAGGCTTCTCTCGTAGCCACGATCGATGCATTGCGACACGGCTGGCCGCATCAGCATCTCGCGTACGAACGCTTCATCACGGGGCTCAAGTGTGCTCAGCTGCGTCTCAAACTCCCGCCATGCTTGCGCTTTTTCGCGCAGCTCCAGGAAGTGCTGGAAGGCTTCGACGTGGAAGGCCATGCCAAATCAAAAATGAGTGGAACAATGGGATGAGGGCGGTATTGAGGGTTGCTGGTCTTGGGTACTGTGTACCAGTTGTACCCATTAACCGGTTAACCCGAACCGGTCCAATCCGAACCCACGTTGATTATGGTGATTACGGTAAGTTGTTTACGCCACCGATGATTAGACGAGTAGGATGATTGGATGAACACCGGTGAGTGATGGTTGATTAGATGCACTAGGTGATAGGACGCAGGGTCGCGTGTCTATAACAGTAGGGTGTAAGCTCCAACAATTCAATCACTTTCGAATCTTCATTCTACCCCTCAAGTGCCTTCGCTCCGGTCCCGCCGTCTGCGACGTCCCTCCCTCCGCTTCGTCCGAGCTTCGTGTCCAAGATCCATACCTTCCATCAGGTTATGAGCCCAAGCACCATGTCCTCTGCCGAAGACGCCTCGACCAAGGTCTCCATTGACAAGTTCAACGGGGACAACTACGCGACGTGGAACCGCTACTTGCGTGGCGTGTTCCTGACCAAGTCGACGTGGCATGTCGTGAACCGCGAGACGACGCCGAGCTTCACGGACTCGCGGGCCAAGGACGACTACGTCAAGTCGAGCAACATCGCGTTCGGACTGATGTTGCTCCACATGGACGCGGACTACCACCATGTGGTCGACGACTGCGAGGAAGCGTGGGTTGCGTGGACGCGCCTGAAGACGCTGTACGGTGGTTCGCAGAAGGCTGGACGCATCTACCTGAAGCGCCAACTCTTCAGCATGGAGATGTCGGAAGGCGGCAACGTCTTGCATCATTGCAACGAGGTCCTCAACATCAGCGCCAAGCTCAGCAGCATCGGCGCCAAGATGGAGGATGAGGACGTGGCGATCTGCCTGTTGCGCAGCCTCCCCAAGAGCTACGAGAACGTCGTGCTGAACTTGGAGATGAGCAGCGCTGAACTACGATCGCAAGACGTCGTGAAGGTGCTGACGAATGAGCACATCAAGAGACAAGGCGAGAAGACGGCGACGGTGAAGACGGAGAATGCGGCCAAGGCGTTCAACACCGACCGAGAGTCTCGCCAGTGTACGTACTGCGGGAAATTGGGGCACACGATTGACAAGTGCTGGACCAAGCAGAAGGACGAGAATCGGGGCCCAAGACGCGGCGGCAATGGCAATGGCCGTGGACGCGGGGCCAACAATGCCCAGTGGAGGAACGACGACGCCAGCTACAACTACGACTACGGCTATGATCGAGTGGCGTTCGCGGTCTCACTGGAGTGTGGCATTTCGACGGGCAAGAATGTGTCCGGGTTGTGGGCGGTCGACAGCGGCGCAACGCACCACATCTGCAACGACAAGGCCAAGTTCGCTCATTTGATTGAGCGGAATGAAGGCGAACTTTCGGTGGCCGACGGCAACAAGGCGGCCATCATGGGTGTGGGGACCATCGTGGAACGAGTGGTTCTGCCCAACGGCGACGAGCGCGACATCGAGATCAAGAACGCGCTGTACGTCCCAAGCATGAGCAAGAATCTGCTTTCGGTGCCACAGATCAACAAGAGTGGTCTGTTCCAAGTCGTGTTCGACAGCACCAAGATGCAGATTGCGCACAAGGGCTCCAAGCAAGTGGTGGCGACGGCAAACCTCGTGGATGGACTCTACTGGCTCCAGACGCCTCAGCGATCGGCGAATGCGGCGACCAGTGGGAAGACGGTCGACTTACACGCGCGTATGGGTCACGCTCCGGTGGAGGTGCTTCGCAAGATGGTCGACAACAACATGATCAAGGACGCGAAGGCACCTTCCAAGTCGAGTGGACCAAGCGTGTGTCGCGGCTGCCAGCAAGGGAAAATGGTCCAGAAACCGTTCCCAAGCAACCGTGACAAGCGTCACTACGACACGTTCGAGCTGCTCCACTTCGACGTGTGCGGCCCCATGGAAGAAGAGTCACTGGGTGGCAGCAAGTATCTGCTGCTGATCGTGGACGAAGCCAGCGGATGCATGAAGGGGTTCTGCCTGCGTGCCAAGTCGGAGAGCGAGGACTGCATCAAGATGTACGTCACGAAGGTGCAGACGCAGTTCGGCAAGAAGGTCAAGTTTGTGCGGCACGACGGAGCCCGTGAGTTCGCGACCAACTCGCTCAAGGCCTTCTACGAAGTCGAAGGCATCGAGCAGCAAACCACGGTTCCGTACGCGCACCAGACCAACGGCACGGCAGAACGCGCCATCCGGACCATCGTCACGATTGGCCGCAGCATGCTGCATCACGCCAAGCTGGACAAGAGCTTCTGGGCTGAGGCGGCCATGACAGCCATCTACGTGAAGAATCGTCTGCCATCACCCAAGATCGAACACAAGACTCCGTTCGAGATCGTTTACAAGTCCAAGCCGAGTGTGAAGCACATGCGTGTGTTCGGATGCCAGACGTACATACTGACGCCGAAGGAAAGACGGCGCAAGTGGGACCCCAAGGCTCGCGCCGGGCTGTTCCTCGGCTACGAAGAAGTGTCCAAGGCGTATCGAGTTTATGACATCGAGGCGGGGCAGGTGGTTATCAGTCGCGATGTCAACTTCGATGAGTCGACCTTTGGACTTTCGACGCATACTTCGGATGAAGACGTCGATGATGCTGTGCTGGACTTGGACGCGCTGGACCTGGACGACAACGATGGACCGCGCCAAACGAGCTTCAAGCAGGCGGGGAAGCGCAAGTACCGACCGAGTGGCGACGACAACACTGCCAGAAGATCGCGCCCCGTTCGCCACCGAGCTGGCTTAGAAGAAGCAAGTGCGCCGGACGTATCCTCCTCGCGCCGAGCCGACCCCGACGAAGAAGAAAAGTCTGGGGACCAAGATGAAGACGACGACTCGACGCCTCCAGTGTTTTGGCGTGCCAGTGCCAACGCTGTGGAAGCAGCAGCCGATCTATCGGAGCCGACGACGTTCCAAGAGGCTGTGAACGGTCCTGATCAAGTGCACTGGCGCAAAGCGATCCGCGCGGAGCTCAAGTCGATGCGACTGCGTGGTGTGTTTCGAGCTGCCAAGTTGCCTAACGGATAACGCGCCATCGATACCAAGTGGGTGTTCAAGATCAAGCGCAAAGCGGACGGCTCGATCGAGAAGTACAAGGCGCGCCTCGTGGCCAAGGGCTTCAAGCAGAAGTACGGCATTGACTACACCGAGACGTTCTCGCCCGTGGTCAAGTATGTGACGCTGCGCATGGTGATCGCGATTGCTAAGTATTTTGGCTGGCCCCTCGACCAACTCGACGTGGTGACAGCATTCCTGTACGGGATAATGAAGGAGGTGGTCTTCTGCGTGGTTCCGGAAGGCGTCGAACTGGATGGTGACTTCGACTGCCTGGAACTGGTGAAGGCCATCTACGGTCTCAAGCAAGCTTCGCGAGTGTGGAACGAGACCTTCGACGAGTTCGTGTGCTCCATCGGCTTCCAAGTGTCGGCCTTCGATCCGTGCCTCTACATCAAGGTGGTGGACGGTCACTGCGTGCTTGTACTGGTGCACGTGGATGACGTACTGATTACCGGGAGTTCGCCCGAGCTGATCGCACGCACGAAGACCGACCTGAAGACGCGCTTCGAGATGACCGACAGCGGCAAGTGCGCGTTTGTTCTTGGGATCGAGTTGGTGGACGGCCCGGACGGCAGCGTGACCATGTGCCAGCGGCGATACGTGGACGACATCCTGAAGCGCTTCGCCATGGACGAGTGCAAGGCCGTGGTGAGTCCGGTGGACATGAGCACTCGACTGGTTCCAAGCGACGCGGCGACCAAGGTGAACGCTCCGTTTCGCGAAGCTGTTGGTGCTCTGATGCACTTGATGACCGCCACGCGCCCAGACATCGCGTACGCCGTTGGCTATGTATCGCGCTTCATGGAGAACCCCCAAGAGGAACACTGGGTTGCGGTCAAGCGTATCTTTCGCTACCTGCAAGGCACCAAAACGCATGGGATCTGCTTCAAGCCGGGCGACAAGATCGACTTTCGTGGCTACTCGGATGCGGACTGGGCCGGCGACCTCGCCGACCGCAAGTCCACTTCAGGCTACACGTTCATGCTCATGAGTGCGCCTGTGAGCTGGGGAAGCAAGAAGCAATGAAGCGGAGTACATCGCGCTCAGTCTGGCTATCCAAGAAGGCAAGTGGATTTATCGCCTGCTATGCGAGATTCTGGCGGCCGCTAATGAGACTGGACCCGAACTCATGATCCGCGAAGACAACCAGTCGTGCATCAAGATGAC